TATTCAAATCATTTGCACCAGGATAAGTGGCCCCAATAATATTATAATTACCATTATTTTCCAACGAATGCAATGTGGAGTCATCATAGGTGGATACTGTGCCGAGCGGTGTGACCCCAACATCATTGTCACCCGTTGAATTAGAGTGCAATGTGGACATAACTCCAAGCGGTGTGGCTCCATTTGTAGTATGACGAGTGGCCCCAAGCGGCTCAACTCCACTAGCATCAAGCACGCCACTCGATATGGCCCCAACACCGTTTACTCGGTTGTTTCCCGTTGAAGAAGGAGACAACGCTCCAAGCCGCGTGGCCCCACCATGTGCGGCATTATCATAAGTGGCCATCTCTCCAAGGGCAGCATTATCACGAGCTTCATGTGCATTCAACACTCCAAGACCATTATTATCACCATGCGCACTATCTTCAACCGGTGTGGCCCCATTATTATCATCATGCGCATCACAAGTGGCCCCAACCTCATGTGCATCATTCTGAATAATTTCAATTGGCACGGCTCCATGAATATTATAATTGTTAAGTGGAGTGGTTGCATGTGCGTCATCACTAGTGGCTCCAATATGCGTATTATTGTGTGCAAGTTCCATCGGCATGGCTCCATTGGTCCCATGCGCATTTTCATGCGCATTATGGGCATGTATTATTCCAAACGGCAAGATTCCATTATTATTATAATACACATTGTCTCCATGCGCATTATCATGCGCACTGTCTCGGTAGCCGGTTGAAGTGGAATGCGGTGTGGCCCCGGTAATAGCATGGCTGTGCATATTAGACATGTCCTCTTGTCCCACCACATTCTGTGCATTCTCTTGAATAATGGTTGGTGCAGCATCACTAATCCAGTTCCTCACATCTGCAACAACTGGAATATCACGTGAACAAGCAGCTTGTGCATGATGTGGACGACATGCTGTAGTTTTATCTGCAAATGGAAAAACCTTTTCATTAAATACAACATGTCTAGAGATATAAACTCTACCATTACTTGCCAGACACTGATAGCCCTTGTGTTGAGGACTAACTCCAAGGTATACAAGACTGAGATCGAAAGCACAATTTGTGATTCTGAAAGGGTCTTAGGTACGGGAAACACTGGCAACCAAAGACCTTCAGTGAAGCAAACTCTGGTTTCTTCTGGTATAGCTTCTCGTATGGAGTCATTCCTCCAAGCACCACCGTGGGAAGGCGATTGATCAAATGAACAGCAGTCACAAATGCATATGACCAATACTGCATAGGTAAGGATGCTTGAGCTAGCAGAACAAGTCCTAACTCAACAACATGGCGATGCACTATCCCTGATCTGGCAAGCAACGCAGGAAACAATCGGTACTCTCCACCCCAATCTGACTGAAAAACTTTGATTTTACTGCCAAATTGATTTGCTACCAATTTTTTGAACAGATGAAACACATCAACAGCTTGCGCTTTGTCTTTCAGTAGATAAAGCCAAGTAAATCGGGTAAACGCATCCACAAAGGTTACATAATAGCGAAAGCCATTGGAAGCAATGAGGAGGTCCCCACAAGTCTGAAAAAACCAATTCAAAGGTGCAGTGTACTCTGTATTAGATGAAGAAAAAGGGAGTTTATGACTTTTTCCCATAAAGCAAGCCACACACGTTTTATTAACATCAATATCAAGTTTTACATCAAGCTCTTTGGCAATTTTACTTAAAGCAAAACTAGTTGGATGTCCTAAACGTCGATGCCATAGCTCAGACTGAGTCATATCTGAAGTTGCAAGATGAACTGCAGCACCACAACCTTCTGTACTGAAATCACTAAGAGAAAACGTATACAACCCTCCTTTCTCTTCACCTTGCAGAAGAATCACCTTAGAGAATTCATCAAGAACAAAGCACTTCTCAGCATGAAATTCAAGGTAAACTTTATTATCCCTAGCAAGCTTATAGACCGAAAGCAAATTCTTAGTTATGTGAGGCACATGCAACAATTCAGTCAAGATTAGAGTTCTTGAAGAAGCAGAGGAAACAACCGCATTACCAACATTATGAATATCAACAGAAACTCCATTGCCAACAGTAAGTTTACCTGGTCCTCTAAACTCAGCAGGGTTCGAGACATTCGCAGCATCTGGTGTAATATGATGTGTAGCTCCATAATCCACCACCCAATGATCACTGGACCTGGAGACCGTATTAGCTTGCAAATTACCTGCTGTCTGAGAATGACCTTTACAGTATTCACATCCCAGGTTTGAAGTTTCAGTAGCAGAGTAGTGTGCATTGGCAGACTGTCCTTTATGAGTTTGAGACTCAGATGTAACACACATAAATTCTTCATCATAACGATGCCAGCATCGATCAACCAAGTGACCGAGCTTGCCACATAGCTGACATTGAATCTTAGTTTGTCCTCGACCTCGACCTCGACCGCCTGTCCTGTTTGTAAACGATGAGCGTGAAGAGTTAGAGTCACGTCGTCCATTAGCAGAGGAATCATGATCTTCTACTCTCTCAGCAACATTGGCTGCCATAGGAGCATAATCAAACTGCTCATCGAACTCGGCCAACTGTGCTTCAGCATCTAACAGAACTATGTAAAGGCTGTCCAAGGACAGTGTTTCCTTCATCGTAGTGATAACCGGCATAAACGGTTGATACTCCCTGGGCAATCCTTTCAAGATACTGGCAACATGTCCAACATGCGAAACTGCACTACCACACGAGGCAAGTGCGTCACATACCTCTTTTACACGAGTGAGATACACTCGCATGCTATCATTTCCCTTCCTAAGCGACTGCAACTTGCAGTGCAAACTCATAGCAGCCGTCGTGGATCTGCTCGCAAAGAGCTGTTGCACAACACTCCACACTGCAGCTGCAGATTCGGCACCAACAAAATAAGGAAGAAGATGAGAGCTAATGGTTGACAGGAGCCACGAAGCAAGCGCACTATCCTGCGCAACAAAATCCTCAAATGTATCATTGACACGAATCGCACCGGTATCATCAAGAATCGTCTCCGGTGGTGATTGTAGAGCTCCGATCAACAAGCGCTCAAGACGGTGACTCCTTACCGTGAGCAAAATTTGATGCTTCCACAGAAGGTAGTTCATCTCATCAAGAACAACGCTGATTTTCTTGTGAGAGAAGCTCGTGCTTATGGACGACTCCATTGAAACACAAAGGAAGAATGTGCAGCAAGAGTTTTTCAAGAAACCCCAAGACCAATGGCGAAAGATACCATATTAAGAAACTGTATATGAAAGAAATGTATTGAATTCACGTATGTTGCATTTACAATCATACTAGCTTTATAGCTAAAGTCAAGCTATCAACCACTTAACCGACTAACAATATTTGGCGCCTAAACTAACTGATTACCAAAGCCATGCTATAATACATGCATATACACAGTATGCTATAGTCTAACAAACCTCATTCTTGAACTCTTCAGTTCCTTGCACAGTGTTCTTTGAGAGTCTTTTTACAGCTATTTACCCTGCATGTATTAGCACACATATGTTCAAAAAGTGTGTTTAAATCCCATCCGAGCTTCATGCCTGGTAAAAAAGTATCTGTAGGGTAATCAAAGCTTCGCCAAAGGTAATGCTCTGTCGACTCGGTCTCATCATTGTTTGCTTCTCTTAGAACCAAATTCCCGGAGTTAACTTTGCTGAAACAGGGTCGTCACTGTCAATACTCAATATCACCCTTTGTTATATTAGACGACCAGACAAGGTTGTTCCGTTGGTTGAGAAGAACCAGGTTTCGATCCTCGACATTGAACACACCCAAAGAGCTCGAAATCAGGTTGTCTGTTGGCAATCCACACGTATGTTCTGTCCGGAATGTTTCTTATTCCAGGTTGAAGAATCCAAGCTCGAAAACATCACCCTGGGAAACAATAGTTTGGTTATGTATGATGGACTGTGTTCCACTCAAAGTGACGAAAGATATCGGAATCTTGGGAAGAAGAAGATCATAACCAGGAAACTGAAGAACAATAACTGGTTCCAAAAATGGTGAATTCTTTAAGTTTCCACTATTTAGTCTACTTTGGACTACGGGAGTTTCCTTCATCGAAAACAAAAGATGATGAGCTTTAGAACTGGTTCTCTTATATTCATAGATGTTCCTACTCGCTCAATAAAACAAATGGCCAACGGTATAAGTCACTACTAAAATACATTTTGTCAACCACTCCCTATTACAAAATCTTTGGAAAAAAAATCATAATTACAATTCAATCTCATAGAAGTCTGTATTGTTGCGGAAGACGGCTATCGGATAGAGCAAAATCGCAACTAATAATTTGAGAAAATTAAAAATAAAGATAAAAGAGACACAAAATTTACGTGGAAAACCCCTAAATAATATAGAGTAAAAACCACGGGCAACAGTAGAAGAATTTCACTATAAGAAAATAGGAATTACAACTTCTCTCGATCTACCAAGGAGAAAACAATGATAATTCTCTCTTGATAAAAATGAGAAAACAACTCTCAAGAAACTCTCTAAATTCTCTCTAGTATTGGAAGAAAGATAGAATGTTTTGGGATGATTTTGAAGCTAAATGAGCTAGGGTATTTATAGTTGAAGCCTAAAAACTAATTTGTAAATACCCTAAAGTTTAGTGACTAAATTGAATTATCCCATTTATCAAATTTCAACAAAAGTTGCTATATTTAATTTTTTTTTCATGATTTCGGTGGTGCATTTAATTCCACCGAAAGTGGCTTGACAACATGTGACAACTTGTTTATTTTTCAACATGTATACCCTTTGAATACTGTAAATAATACGTATATTTTATGAACATATCAAAACAATGCAGATGAAGTAAACAAATATAAAATGTATCTTCCATCTACCATTGTCACTGTGACATCTTTGGAAGATGCAGATGCAGTTTCATGCATATCTCTACCAAGCTTCTCATGGAGGTATAAGTGGGCTGTTTCGGCATCGGCAGCGTTGGGCCTTCAATCTCCAGCATCAACACCACGGTGGCCATTGTCGGTCTGTTCATTGCCGAGTCCTGCACACACAGCATGCCTATGTGTATGCATTTCAACACTACTTTTGTCGAGCATGAATCCTTAATTGAAGGATCGATGAGCTCCATAGCTTTATCTTCGTTCCAAAGACTCCATGCCTTGCCAAAACAAGCCCATGAAAAACTCATTTTAGCATTGCAGAATTCAATAACGAAATCCAATTGCTTGGATATAAAGGTTGCATGCATTTGTACTTACGTATGCTATAAGACTCGTGTAATTGGCTGATCAAAAGCTAGTATTTCGCCGGCCGCTAATGATTTCTAACAACAATACTCCAAAGCTGTACACATCGGACTTGCTCAAAAATAGTCCTTCCATCGCATATTCAGGAGACATATATCCGCTGAATTTTTAAGATCAGAAACAGAAATTATTAGCTCTTTCAAGCTATCGACATTGTTTGTAATTTGATATCTATAAGGATGTGTAGTTTTTGCTTACTATGTGCCGACTACTCGTACTGTATTTGCTTCATTTTGGTTACCCCCGAAGATCCTTGCCATACCAAAATCCGAAATATTTGGATTCATCTCTGCATCCAACAAAATATTGCTGGCTTTCAGGTCTCTATGAATGATTCTAAGTCTCGAATCTCAATAGAGTTAAAGTAGTCCTCTTGCAGTGCCTTCGATAATGCTGAACCGGGTTCTTTAATCTAGCAGCGATCGTTTCGATTCGTCTGCAATTAAAGTTTATGAGTAAATTATGTGTTTCAGTACAAAAACTTATGAAAATCCGAGCATACTGCGGAACATACCGAAAAGAAAGTAGTCCAAGCTTTTATTAGGCAAGAATTAGTATATCAACATCTTTTCTTCCCCTTCGATGGAGCAGCCTAATAGTCTAACAAGATTCCTATGTTGCAGTTTAGCAATCAAGATAATCTCATTTTTAAACTCTTCTAGCCCTTGGCCTGACGTCCCCGAAAGCCTCTTTACAGCTATTTCTTGACCTCCAGGCAGCTCTCCCTGGCAATAAATGTAAACGATAAGCATTATTATCATCATTCCGATCGCTAATTATAACATTACACGTTAAAACTCTGTAATTAGATAAAGAAATTCACCTTGTATACGGGACCAAAACCACCCTGCCCCAGCCTGTTTGCTTCACAAAAGTTCTTTACTGCAGCTGCTACACTACTGAAGTTAACAATTGTTAACTCCGGTCCATTACCTTGACTCCCATCGATAAGTATGTCACTTGGTTTTGATACATCCGCGGAAACATTTTTGGTCTTGGACTCTTTAAATGCCGCTACATCATCGTCCTTGCAACAACACATCGATGAAACTACCGGTAAACGTTTAACTTTTTCCTGTATCTCCATATTAGCCATATAGATACAACCAAGAGGCATTCCCCCAACACAGAGATTATAATTATCGCTGTGTTGGATATCTTTGAACCACCATCTACGATTGAAGTGAAGACAAAAAGTGTTAATATATTGGAAAATATCATACAATATGTTTTATGTCGACTTATTGCTTGAACAGTTAATAGTACACATCAAATTCTTCTATGCTCGATCAACAACGGATGTGATGAGCCTTCACTACAAACTACAGTCACTGAAAAAGGGAGGTGACACTATGAGGGCGTATCTTACGTGTCAAAGAGGTCTGTGACTCCTTGGAATCATGTGGTAGCCCAATATCTTCTGTCGAACGTATTGTCAGCACGCTAAAAGGCCTCCCTCGTGAATATCAATCCTTTGTGGTTGTTATAACTACAATGAGAGAAACTCTAACTCTTGATAACATTCACACTATGTTACTTGATGCTTAAATGCAACTTACAGGTTTTGATGAACAAAATGATGTACTGCCCATGAGTGCCCATATTGCTCAGGGTGAAGGGCGTGAATCCACCTTCTCCAATGCTCGTATGGATCAACGATTCAACTCCTCTACTAGATCTCGAGCATCTAATGGCAGAGGCAGAGGTAGACCACGAGTACAATGCCAATTGTGTGGCAAAGTCAGGCACCTAGTAGATTGTTGTTGGCACAGGTTTGACAAAGAATTCTCCTATGTCACAAACGATAATCGTGCTTCCAATGATAATCGTAATTCCAATGATAATCTTGCTTCCTACAGTAATTGGGCTTCCTACGATAACCGTGTTTCCTATAGGAGTGATTCACAAGCCTCTTCCTCCAATACGTGTGAATGTTGTAGTAAAAATCGATCAACGTCCTCGAGTCTGCCTCAAGTCAACACTGTTAATGCTGGTAGTAATTCTGGATTTTGGGGCAACACACCATGTCACCTCTGAAGAATCAAATATCATGAACCCATCTGAGTTCCATGGCCCAGGTAAACTTGTTGTTGGCAATGGCATGCATCTTGGTGTCAATATGGTTGGTCAGTCGTTTGTTTCTTCTTCCTCTCGTTCTCTTCTACTCAAAGATTTATTACATGTGCCTCAAATTACTCGTTTGCAATGAATTCCAACGATCGTGTTCCTGAGGTACATACTGTTTCCATGAAAGGATTCATTGATGAGCTTGGCATAGGCACCTCGGCCACCCTGCATTTCATACACTAGTTGCGTTATCATCTACACTTGGTGTCAAGTTTAAGTTTGATGTAAATAAGGAATGTACTGCTTGCTATATAGGAAAGAGCCATAAAATACCGTTTGGCGAATCAAATACAGTGTTTTCTTCTCCATTTGAGCTTGTATTCACCGACTTGTGGGGACCTCCTCATATTTCCTCTAATGGCTTTCGGTTTTATATTTCTTTTATTGATGTATTTACTAGACACACTTGGTTGTACCTCTTGAAAACCAAGGATGAAGCTCTTCTAGCCTTTGACTTGTTTCAAAAACTTGTTAATAAACAGTTTGGTTGCTCAATTAAGGCAGTTCAAAGCGATTGGGCGGGTGAATTTCGCAGCTTGTCTTCTTTTTGGCTAAATGTGGCATTATTCATAGGATAAGCTGTCCACATACTTCTGAACAAAATGGTGTAGTTGAAAGAAAGCACCGTCATGTGATCGAGCTTGGCTTGGTGTTATTGGCTCAAGCTCCTATGCCAATAAAATACTGGTCTTACGCGGTTGTAGCTGCTGTCCACTTGATTAATAAGTTACCCACTAAAATTCTTCAAGGGGAGTCACCTCTCGAAAAACTAATGCAAAAGACACCAGATTATAGTATGATGAAAGTCTTTGGCTGCCAATGCTTTCCCCCATTTAAGATTATTTCAGAATCACAAGCTTGCATTTCGCTCTCAAGCATATGTCTTTTTGGGTATCAGTCCACAGCATAAAGGATACCAGTGTTTGACTCCAGATGGTCGTGTGTATATCTCTCGTCATGTGAGTTTTAATGAACACATGTTTCCTTTTTCAGGTACTAACGGCAGTGAGGAACATGTCTCGAATGTAGCTCTATCACCTTCCCTGAGCTTAGTTGCAAATCCTAGACAACCTGTGTTCCAGTCCACATCTGAACCAGCACGTGTATCAACATCAAATATTGCAAGGAATAATGCTGAAACAACAATACCCTTGGAATCCTCAAATAATAGTGACTCTCAAACACACCAGCAGCTTGAACCCTCACCAAAATCTGAAAACAACATTAATGACAGTAATACTCATACTCCCCAACAGTCCGAGTCTGAGTCCAGAACTGGAGATGATGCCTCTAGTTCAGCTCATAATCAGGACAACACTGGCCTGCCCGAATTTAATTCAGTTCATGAGGCTACTATGTCTTCTTCAAGTGATATTCCTCCTGCTCCACAACGAGTTCATCATATGATGACGCGTAGTCGGTGTGGTATCTTTAAACCCAAGGCATATACTGCTGAATGTACTGAAGATGTTCCTGGCTCAATTTGTGAAGCTTTTCAGGTGGCACATTGGAAACAAGCGACTCAAGATGAATATGATGCTCTGCTATTGTCACAGACCGCCAGCCCAAGACCGAGCCCAGTTCGTTCAAGGCTGCCAGAGACTACCTTTGCCACGTTTTGGGCCTTCTAGAAGACCCAGCAGAGCTGGCCCATCCACCTTGGAGAGAGAAGAGGCATGATAATTATTTGAAATTATCTTAGAGATAATTCCCACTAATTATTATTTAATTTAGAGTTATAGATAGAGTAGGGCTCTTTTCTGACCGTTGATGTAATTTAATCTTAATCGTTGATTGTAGGGGGCTCCAACTATAAAAGGAGGCTCACCCCCACCTCATTTACTCACTTCAGATTGAGGAATACAAGTTAGCATTCACTCTAAACTCTCTCTTCTCCATTTGAGCGCCCATCTCTCTATTTTTCCCATTTCCTTTATTTTTGCAACGTTCTAAGCATTCTCGCTTAGTGAAGGTTTGGGTTACTTAGCCGAGTTTCGACCTCGAAAACGACTAAGGCCGCACGAGCTTACTAGCAGCAGTCTAGCCCCGTGACAAGTGGTATCAGAGCCTATTTCTTTTTATTTTCGTTGGTTCGAGATGGCACCACAACATGGTGAAACGACGGGTTCTGATGGGAATGAAACCTGCAATGCTGGAAAGAAAAGAGAACCCTCGAAAGATGTTCTCACGTCCATCCAAGAGAAGGTTACCAGGCTCGAGGGTTCCATGACGGAGGCCAAGGTAGTGCTGGATGTGCTAGAGTCCGTAGACCTTGAAAGGTTGGGATTGTTAGATCTCGATAAGCTGGAGTCCTTGGAGAGTATCAGGGAGGAGGTTCAGGATTCACTCAACGAGTTGGATGTGAAGGCAACTGATCGAGGTGATTCCTTAGAAGCCATGGTAGTGGCTTTAAGGAAGGAAGTTGAGGAACTCAAGAGTAAGGGTTCCGATTCTGAGGTGGTCGAGCTAAAGAGGGAGGTCGAGTTGCTCAAGACCGAGTTGTTGGTGTGCAAAGCTGCGTTCGGGAATAGCGTAGCCACGGTTGCACCCAAAGCCTTGGGGGACATCCCTAAGCCAGAGAAGTTCAAAGGAACCAAGTCCGCCCAGGATGTTGAGAATTTTCTTTGGGGGTTGGACCAGTACTTTGCAGCCACGGGCATCACAGGATGCCAAGAAAGTAAGCATCGCTAGTGTTTACTTGTCAGAGGTTGCCCTCATGTGGTGGCGACGCAGATGCAACGATGTGAAGCGTGGGAACGCTGCCATCGAGACCTGGGTAGAATTCCAAGCTGAGTTCAAGGAACAGTTCTACCCAGAGTATGCTGAGGATGAGGCACGATCCAAGTTGAGGCGTCTCAAGCAAGAAGGGTCACTGAGGGAGCATGTTCGAAAGTTTTTCGAACTAATGCTCCAAGTCCCAAATTTGAGTGAAGAGGACGGGTTCTTCACCTTCATGGATGGGTTGAAACCATGGGCGAAGAACGAGCTAAGGCGACGAGGAGTTAAGGAGCTCTCGGTTGCCTTGAAGACGGCCGAGTCAATCATTGAGCTTGGCGTCAAGAAGGTGGACTCCAAACCAAAGCCGAAGTTCCGAGGTAGCAGTGGTGATAGGGACAAGGCGCCAAATCCGACAAAGATTCGAGTGGCATGGCAAGCCATCGAATGGTAAGCACTCGATAAGAAAGACAAGCAAA